CTCTAAATCAGGCATGGGGCCACATCCTTTAATCCCAGCACTGGAGGTAGAGGCAGGCAGATCCAGGACTGCACAAGGAAAGGAAACCCTGTTTCAAACACATGCACGCATACACACACACACACACACACACACACACACACACACACACACACACACACGGGAGGGGGAGAGGGAGGGAGGGGAGAGAGAGACACTTCCTAACTGCCAAGGATGATGAGCATGGGGTTGGCTCTTGGCAGCGTCAGCATTATTCTAACAGGAGGACATGCTGAGCCCTCACAAGCAAATCTGCCATCTGTCCCTTCTGAAGCTTGCAGAGGCACGGGATTTGGGAAAGATGGAGCAGAGGCCAGGAGCCACGGTGAACCTAGGGATGGTGAAGAGTGTGCCGGTCTCTCTTTTAGGAAGCTTTAACGTGTGCCCCTGGGTACGTGAAGAGCAGGAATCTAGGTTCCAGTCAACACTGGGACTAGGAAACAGCTCAGGCGACAACTGTTGTAAGAGTACATGCCGTGCAAGAATGAGGGCCTGAGTCTGAACCCCTGGTCCCCACATAAAAAAGCCGACATAGCCATGTGTGCCTGTAACCCCAGTGCTGGGGTACAGACAAGGGCAGGTCCGAGAGCTGACAGCCCAGCCCAGCAAGACAGAGTTTCAGGTTCAGTTAGACAGGTTCTGTTAGAGACCCTGTTCTGAGGGAATAAGGTAGAGCAGGATAGAGCAGGAACCTGATGTCCTCCCCGGCCTCTGTGGATCCATACATCTGTGCATACATACCAATAACAAAATAAAATAAATGAGTGTGAGGGTTACCAACCGCTTGAAGAAAGCATCTTTTTTTTCTGTTTCGTTTGCTTTCCCTACCTCCCCCCACAACCCCAGCAGCCTACCAACCTTGCTAAATCCCCAACCCTTGCCTTGTTTTGAAGACAAAATCTTGCCCAGGCTAGTCTAGAACTCTTCCCTCAGCCTCCTGAGAGCCAGGACTACAAATGTTCACCGTCAAGTTTTGAAATGACGGATCTGTCTTCTGTGAGTTGAAAACTACCCTGGGCTATATAACAAGTTCCGACGCCAGCCAGTGCTCCACAATGAGACCCTGTCTCCAAATAATAAAATAAAATATAAACAAATAAATAAATAAGTGGTCAGAGGTGCCTTTAAAGTTAGACACAGAGGCTGGAGAATGGCTGAGTGGTAACAGCTACCAGTCGTGCCAAGTTGATGGTAAACCTCAAAACCATACTCAGATGCCAGCTCCAGGGATTTGACCTGACTGGGGGCGTGAGGGAATGAAGAAATGACAGACAAATTGGCGCTGGAAAGCTGTGGGAAGGGCTCAGTGGCTGGGAACTCACGCTGCATCCCTGATGGGGTGGGAATGCGCTGGGAGCGCACACTGCAGCCCTGATGGGGTGGGAATGCGCTGGGAGCGCACACTGCAGCCCTGATGGGGTGGGAACGCGCTGGGAGCACACGATGCAGCCCTGATGGGGTGGGAACGCGCTGGGAGCGCACACTGCAGCCCTGATGGGGTGGGAACGCGCTGGGAGCGCACACTGCAGCCCTGATGGGGTGGGAACGTTCTGGGAGCACACAATGCAGTCCTGATGGGGTGGGAACGTTCTGGGAGCACACGCTGCAGCCCTGATGGGGTGGGAACGTTCTGGGAGCACACGCTGCAGCCCTGATGGGGTGGGAACGCTCTGGAAGCACACGCTGCAGCCCTGATGGGGTGGGAACGCCCTGGGAGCACAGGCTGCAGCCCTGATGGGGTGGGAACGCGCTGGGAGCACACGCTGCAGCCCTGATGGGGTGGGAGCGTTCTGGGAGCACACAATGCAGTCCTGATGGGGTAGGAACGTTCTGGGAGCACACGCTGCAGCCCTGATGGGGTGGGAACGTTCTGGGAGCACATGCTGCAGTCCTGATCGGGGTGGGAACGTTCTGGGAGCACATGCTGCAGTCCTGATCGGGGTAGGCACGGGCAGTCCTCTGACTTCTCCAGCTGCAGTAGAGGCCAGTGGCTCTGCTTTCTGAAGCTCTCAGCAGAGCCTTATCCCTCCCTGGTCAGCGGAGGGAGGTGTCGGACAGCCCTATAGTAGGCATTGTTTGGAGGGACTTTATTTGGTCTAAAAAGTAGTGTCATGTAGCCCAGGCTGGCCTCAAACTCGCTATGTAGCTGAGGATGACCTTGAACTTCTGGCCCTGCTGCGTCCATATCCCAAGTGCTGGGCTTAGAGGGGTGTGCCACCATGCTTGGTTTATGTACTATTGGAGATGGAACCCGGGGTTATGTGGGTGCTGGGTAAGCATGCTGTTGATGAGCTACATTCTCAGTCCCCAGTCATAAACTGATGAATTTATTTACTTGTTTATGTTTGGTTTTAGGAGACAAAATTTCACACTGTAGCTCAAGCTGGCCTCATATTGGTGCAATCCTCACAACTCAGTCTCTCAAGTACTGGGATTAAGGGCATGAGGCAACCATCTGGCTTTTAGTTTTGTTTATTTGTTTGTTTGTTTTGATTTTTCGAGATAGGGTTTCTCTGTGTAGTTTTGGTGTCTGTCCTGGATCTCGCTCTGTAGCCCAGGCTGGCCTCGGACTCAAAGAGATCTGCCTGGCTCTGCCTCCCAAGTGCTGGGATTAAAGGTGTGTGCCACCACCGCCCGGCTACTCATTTTTTTTAATGTGTTAACAGGGCTGGAGAGAAGGCTCAGTGGTCAAGAGCACTCACTGTCCGTTATTCCAGAGGACCTGGGTTTGATTTCCAGGACCTACATGGCAGACCACAACCATATGTAACTCCAGTTCTAGGTAATCCAGCTCTGGGGTAATCCAATATCCTCTTCTGGCCCCTGTAGGCAACACACACACACACACACACACACACACACACACACACACACACACACCATAATTGAAAAAAAATAAAGCTGGGGTGGTGGTGGGGGTGGCACACACCTGTAATCCCAGCACTTGGGAGGCAGAGGCAGGTGGATCCCTGAGTTCAAGGCCATCCTGGTCTAGAGAGTGAGTCCCAGGACAGCCACGGCTACCCAGGGAAACTCTGTCTCGAAAAACTAAGAAAAAAAAAAAATAAATCTTTAAAAATATATGGAAGCTTTAGAAGGCCAGTATTGGTGAAATTATTAAGGCCACTCCACGTAGTTAGGAGATTTATTTAATGGCGTAACTTACAAATTAAGGGATAGGTAGGTCGCGGGGTCTGGGGAAGGTGTATCGCAGTCCAGCGGTGTTCTCTGGAGCTCTGCTTGGCCCACCTCCACTGTCCAGGGTCCCGGAACAGAGTGAGAGTGCAGCCCATCCAGAGCTCAGGTCTCCAGGTGCCTCCCTTGGCCCCGCCTTGTAGGCGTGACAGTTGCCAAAGTCTCAAAGGGGGTTTGGAACTTCCAGATCAAAGCTGGAATGGCTACCCACTACAGGCCAGCCTTGGGCCGGGCTGTAGCTTGACTGCAGAGCTCCTGCTTAGAACACCTAATGCTGGCTTCTGTTTCCACTATTCTGTTCTGTTTTTCCTACTAACCTACTAACAGGAGTGGGGGTGGGGGAGAGGGGGTGTGGGGGAGGGGCTTTCTCATTCAGGAGCCTTACCCAAAGGCCCTGCCATCCCAGTGCTAAGAAGGCTACAGGAGTGTTCTGCCTGTGCCATCCCTTCGGGGAAGCTGCTCCCTGGAGAGGAGGTGGCAGGCTGTGTCCACCCAGATGGCAGCTGAGGTACCTGCACCTGGCTTCTGGAGTAGGCAGCACATCGAAACCACCTGCGCCGGCCTCTGCCTTCTGAAATTGTGACTTACCTGGTCCAAGTTTGTTTTCAAAGGTCACCAGTGCCGAGAGAAAAGCAACAACAACAAAAGCAGAGATGCCCTAAGTGTAATGACGGGGCTGGAAGAGTGGGTGGGAGGGCACAGGGGCAGGTGGAGCACCACCGTGCCTTTCCCTGGTGTGGGCTGGGGTCGAACCCACTGCAAGCCTCTGGGCGCCACTGCTCCTGGAACAGGGCTAACAGCTCCATCTCCTCAGGGTCTCTCCTGCCCCGTTTTCACTTGGCCTACCCGTCTCTTCACGCCAGTGCAGACGCGTGGAGACAACGTAGACTTCCTTCTCCTCAGTTCCTGTAAGAGTGTCCTCAGCTCTCAGTCCAGCAGGCAGTGTCCCAGCGTCTAGCTAGCCCCAGTGCTGTGGGCTGAAGGGACTTGTCTCGGGCCTGATGCTTTTTCTGGCTAGCATTTTTAGTTAGCTTATATTAATTATGCACAATAATGGATTTCACTTTAATGTTTTCACGCAGGTATATGATGTGTTTGGGACATACTCACCCCAATTAGCCTTTCTTGTCCCCTATTTCCCACGGTCCCTTCCTCTTCCCAACTGGTTCCCTCAGTTCCCTTTCTATCCAACCCCATCCCCCGCTCCCGTGTGCGTGCGCGCGCGTGTGTGCGTGTGTGTGTGTGTGTGTGTGTGTGTGTGTGTGTGTGTGTGTGTGTGTGTGTCCCATAGAGAGCTTTTGCAAAGATTGGAGAGCAATTTTCAGGGAGTCATTTCTCTACTCCAGCCATGTGAGTCCCGAGGATTGAACTCAGGTTGCCAGGGTTGGCAGCAAGCTCCTTCACCCACCAAGCTATCTTGCTGGACCCTGGCTAACTTTAAAAAAAAAAGCATCTGTGTGTTCATTTTTTCTTTATAATTTACTTTTTATTTGAATATATGTGTGTGTGTGTTTTTCCTGCGTGTGTCTATTTTTGCACCACATTCATGCCTAGTGCTCATGGGGACCAGAGAGGGAGTCAAATCCCTTGGAACTGGAGTTACACATGGTTGTGAGCCGATGTGGGTACTGGGAATTGAACCCCAGTCCTCTGTAAAAGCAGCCAGTGTTCTTTACCACTGAGCCATCTCTCTAGCTCTGGCTAGCATTCTGTTTTGTTTTGGTTTCTTCCCTTCCTTCCTTCCTTCTTTCTTTTGTTCTTTCTTTCTCTTAATGGAACGCTTCACAAATTTTCGCGTCACCCTTGCTCAGGAGCCATGCTAACCTTCTCTGTATCCTTCCAATTGTTAGGATCCGGCCTGCCGAAGAAGCCAGTGCTGACTGTGCTGCAAACACTTTTTTTTTTTTTTTTTGAGATGGGGGGGGGTTCTCTGTCCTGGCTGTCCTGGAACCCACTCTTTAGTCCAGGCTGGCCTCTGCAAGTGCTTGGATTAAAGGCATCTGCCACCTCCACTGGGCTCTGGCTAGCATTTTTTTGTTTTGTTTTGTTTTTTTTTTTTTTTTTTTTTTGGTTTTTCGAGACAGGGTTTCTCTGTGTAGCTTTGCGCCTGTCCTGGAACTCACTTGGTAGCCCAGGCTGGCCTCGAACTCACAGAGATCCGCCTGGCTCTGCCTCCCGAGTGCTGGGATTAAAGGCGTGCGCCACCACCGCCCGGCCTCTGGCTAGCATTTTTAACAGCCCAATAAGCCATTCCCACCCCCCCTCAGTCTCAAGAGTAATGTTTTAACATTAAATTCTAACATGATCACAGAACCACCTCAAGCCTGTTTTCGGAGTAAGCAGAGAGGCCAGGCAAGGACGCAGCAGCTTCTCTCACTGGCACTCAGAACCCTGTGAAGTGCACTGTAAACCGTGACCCGCGCCGGAAACAGACCAGGCACAGTTCAGAAATGATACATGCCATTGCAATCTCTCCCACTTCCTCCCAGACACCAGCACGGGAACACAGGCATGGTGACGAAGCTGGCTGCCACCCACACTACAAGGAAAGGGGGGTGGTGCCTTGCCCTACTCTAAGAAAATGGGGGAGGGAAGCTGTCACTCAGCTCCAAGAAAAGGGACAGAGTGGTCCTGGTTCTGTGCTTCTTAACACTCACTTGCTCCTCTGCCGGTGTCAGCCCCAGAAGCTCTCATCTGTTAACAAAGCTAAATTACCCCCATTTCCCTGTTGAACAGTGATACGATTTGGAGCAGGCTTTTTCTTAATGTCTAATTGGTATTTAATTACTAGGGGATCCTGCTTGCCCTTGTGTGTGAAATGAAATCTTCTTACATTCCCACCATGAGGACCTTACTCTGCTGGCTGGCTAAGTGTCAGCCTTGAACTGTCCTGATTTTTGGTTTGTTTGATTTGGTTTGTTTGTTTGCTTGTTTGGTTTGGTTTGGTTTTCCATGTCAACACCTTGTGTTTGTGACATGGTCAGATTTCTTTGTGTGCCCATATGTGGGTGCAGGTGTGTGGGTGCCTGGCATGCATATATAGGTCCTTGGGTGCCTTATACTTTTTTGGGACAGACTCATTAGCCTGGAATTTCAAGTACCCAAGATAGTGTCAAGCTTCCAAGGATCTGCATGTCCCCACCTCCCATCTCACCATCACTGGGATTACAGGTGTGTTCCACTGCATGCAGTTTTGTTTGTTTGTTTTGTTTTGTTTTTCGAGACAGGGTTTCTCTGTGTAGCTTTGTGCCTTTCCCGGAACTCACTCTGTAGTCCAGGCTGGCCTTGAACTCACAGAGATTCACCTGGCTCTGCCTCCTGACTGCTGGGATTAAAGGCATGTGCCACCACCACCCGGTCACATGCAGTTTTTTTTGTTTGTTTTGTTTTTTTTTTTAAACAAGGTTTTTATTTTTTTTTATTTGTATTTATTTATTTATTTATTTATTTATTTATTTATTTATTTATTTATTTATTTTGGTTTTTCGAGACAGGGTTTCTCTGCGTAGCTTTGCGCCTTTCCTGGGACTCACTTGGTATCCCAGGCTGGCCTCGAATTCACAGAGATCCACCTGGCTCTGCCTCCTGAGTGCTGGGATTAAAGGCGTGCGCCACCACCGCCCGGCTATTTTTATTTTTTTTAGATTTATTTATGTATTTATTTATGTATACAATGTTCTGTCTGCAGGCCAGAAGAGGGCACCAGATCTCATTACAGATGGTTGTGAGCCACCATGTGGTTGCTGGGAATTGAACTCAGGACCTCAGGAAGAGCAGCCAACGCTCTTAACCGCTGAGCCATCTCTCCAGCCCCCCACATGCAGTTTTTTACTTGAGTTCTGGGTGCTCAAAGTTAGGTCCCCAATCTCACAAAGCACATACTTTACCAGGGTCTTATGTAGCACAGGCTGCCCTTGAACTCAATGGGTAGCTGAGGATGACCTTGAATTTCTTGTTTGGACCCTTCTGCCTCCAGATCCTAAATTCTGGAGTCACCAGCAGGCTAGGCAAAGCACCCTAACACTTGAACTATGTCCTCTCTGTCAGATCTTTAGGAGCCTGGCTGCATTTCCACGGTGACTGTTAGGGATAGCAGAGTCACAGGAAGAGGAGGGTGGGAAGTGGAGGGAGGCTCCCAGAGTGCTCTTATGTGAGCTAAAATATGAGTCAGTACTGTGCGCACATTTGAACTTGAACCTAATCTGGGCGGTGGTGGTGCACGCCTTTAGTCCCAGCACTTGGGAGGCAGAGGCAGGTGGATCTCTGAGTTTGAGGCCAGCCTGATCTAGTGAGACCCTGTCTTGAAAGTCAAAACACAGAACAGCTTGGACCCGTATTGTGTAACCCGTGTTCCTTGAGTGTACTGGCCTAAAGCAATGATGCTCATCTCTCCCCGTGGGCTGTGGGTTGACAGGGCACAGCTGGCACTCTTACTTGGGGGCGTCCTGTGGTTGCAATGCCATTGCGCCTGAACATCTGATATGGCTCCCTGACACATTCATAGTAGATTCTGACTGTGAGCAGGGAGTTCTGGCAGTATGGTCCTTTCATGTGACACTAAGGCCAGGTTCCAAGACAGAACGCCTAGGGACCTAGTCAGAAGTTACAGACTTCTCCTGCCTCAGCTGTACGTCCCGAACATCACTTCTGCCACACTTCATTTGTCAATCAAGGGACTGAAGTCATCAGCCCAGAGTCTAGGGATGGAAAATGGGCTCTTCTGCCTGTGAGGAGCAGAGCAGGGCAGGTAAAGAAGGGATTGATGGTGGCTGTCTTAGGAGATGGTCCATCTTAGTGGGTAAGAACTGGGGCAACTTTCGGGAATTGGTTCTTGGTTATGAATGTATTCCTTCCGGTGTGTTTCCACCGCTGCCGTGGTGACCAGTGCACACCCCTCTTGGTCTTAGTGCTACATCTGCGGTCTACCTCACAAGAGAATATTATCCACAACCCCATCTCACCCCTGGAGGTGGCTGATTTTCCATTTAGCTGTTTTGTTTGAGACAGGGGTCTTACCATGTAGCTGGTTAATTTTTCTGTTAACTTGAATCAAGTTACGATCATCTGGGAAGAGGGAACCTCAACTGAGAAAATGTCTCCATCAGATTGGCCCGTAAGCGAGTCTGTGGGAGGGCCTGGCCCACTGTGAGTGCTGACACCTGGGCAGGTGGTATAGAAAAGTAGCTGAGCGGGGTGGCGGTGGTGGCGCACGCCTTTAATCCCAGCACTCGGGAGGCAGAGTCAGGCGGATCTCTGCGAGTTCAAGGCCAGCCTGGTCTACAGAGTGAGATCCAGGACAGGCACCAAAACTACACAGAGAAACCCTGTCTCTAGAAGAAAAAAAAAAAGAAAAGGAAAATAACTGACCAGGAGACTGAGAGCAGCCACCAAGCAGCCTTCCTCTGTGGTTCTGCCTGAGTGCCTGCTCTGATGTCCCTCAATGATGGACTGAGATGTGGAAGTGTGAGCCAAATTAACCCTCTCCTCCCCAGGTTGCTTTTAGGTATGGAACAGGAAGCAAATTAGAATATCCAGCACACACTTCCCTCTTATTTGTGTGTTCGTGTGCGTATGTGTGTGCACACGCTCACACATGTGTGTGTATGTAGAGGCCAGAGGGCAACACTGATCACCTTCCTCAATCGCTCTCCACCTTACTTTTGAGTCAGGGTCTCTCACTGAACCTGGAACATGCTTTTTGACTGATGTGGGAACAGTGGCTGAGCAAGTTCCCAGGATGCTCCTCTCTGCCTCCCCAGCACTGGGGTTATAGATGCACAGCTCTGTGCTGGTGTTTTCTGTCTCTATCTCTGTCTCTGATGTGAGGACCAAGTTCAGGTCCTCAAGCTTGCTTGCCTGGCAAGCACTGTAGCGACCAAGCGTCACCTCAGCCCACTTCCCTCTCAATATTAATAAAGGGCATTTTTGGAGCTCTGATTTGACTCTGTGCTCAGCAACACACAGACACACAGACACACAGACAGACAGACACACACACACAGACAGACACACAGACACACACACAGACAGACACACAGACACACACACACACACACACAGACATAGACACACACAGACACACAGACAGACAGACAGACAGACAGACAGACACACACACACACACACACACACACACACACACACACACACACACAGTTACTTGAGGGATAGTGTCTTGGAGTACACATGGCAAAAAGAATTTCTTTCTTTCCAGTAACTCCCACCAGATGTACTTGCTCAAAACCCCTTTCCCAGCAGGCCTCAGGCTCCCTGGGTGCAGCCTCAGTCTAGGACATAGGCCTGTTTCAACTTTCAGACTTGTTGCAACACCCCCACCTTTCCCAGCATTGCCAGACCCAAAGTGGGTGGAGGGGTGAAGAGTCCTGCAGCTGGCCCACCCACCCCCACCCTCGCCCCCGCCCCCACCCTGTTTTGTGCTCTCTTTGCTTTCCTTACATGGGGCTGAGGCAGGAAAGAGAGAAATGGAAAACACGCACCTGGTTGATGGTGGCAACACTGCTGTTCCCTGTGTGAGGTGGGATGTGGATTGTTTTCCGCTGATCTAACTCCTTCCTGGGGCCGGCACATGCTTTGTGGTGAGAACCTGACTCGTAGAGTATTCAGCAACATCCTTGACTGCTCATGTTTCATCTACAACTAGATACTGGGAGCTGTCACCCTAAGTGTGACAATCAAAACTGTCTCCAGACTATTTCCAGGGTCCTGATTGAGACCAACCTCTCTATACACTTGTCAGGAGCAAGTGTGGGTCTCATAGACCTCCTAAGGAACTCATGGGCCCCATATTCTTCCTAATTCTTGGAGGAGGCCTTGTGCCATGTTGCTGTGAGGGGGACTCCAAACCCCAATCC